GATAGAAACCTGGGGCCATTTAGGACTTCAATACGGTTGCCCGATGAAAAGCAAGGTTGCGGTGAGACAAACACATGAGCCTTACCTGTGAGGGGCCCTGCGTAGTTCTACATCACTACCCTTGTAAACCCTTGTAAGCCCTTATAAACCGCTATAGCCCTTATAAACCCTGATCAACCCACATGAAGCCTCGGAGGTCCTCGGAGGTGCCACACCTTGAAAACCCCTAAACCGCCACAGCACTCGCAGGATTGCTGGCAGGAGGCTCATTCCGGATCAGCATGCCTGCGTGGTTTAGGGGTGTTTAGGGGGGTGTAGGGGGGGTGGGCTTAGGGCTTAGGGCTCAGGGCTTAGGGCTTAGGGCTTAGGGTTTAGGGTTTAGGGTTTAGGGTTTGGGATTTAGGGTTTCGGGTTTAGGCTTGAGGGTTGAGGGTTGAGGGCTGAGGGTTGAGGGTTGAGGGTTGAGGGTTGAGGGTTAAGGGTTTAGGGTTAGGGTTTAGGGTTTAGGGTTCAGGGCTTAGGGTTTAGGGGGGGTGCAGGGGGGTGAAGGGGGGGTTCAGGGTTTGAGGGATTTAGCCCAGCGGGTTTAGGGCTTAGGGTTTAGGGCCGAGGGGGTTTCAGGGTTTAAGGGGTTTAGGGTTGGGGGGTTTGAGGGGTTTCGGGTCTAGGGTAGTGTCAAGGCTTAGGATGTCGGGCTTAGGGGGTTTAGGGTTTCGGGGGCTTCGGGGGGGTTTAGGGGGTTAGGGGGGTGTAAGGAGTGTTTGGCGAAGCTTTGGACTCCACTCCTCGGCAGTGGGCCATGCCCCACCCCAAAGCCTAAACTAAAAACACCTGCGGTTTAGGGTTTAGGGTTTGGGGTTTAGGGTTTAGGGTATCTGAACCCTACCAAGATAGGGAGAGGGGTTCAAGCCGGGCATGTAACCCAAGGTACCCCACTACTCCTACGGCTCCCTAGGTTCCCTAGGTACCTACCCCCTTGCTTGAATCCCCCTCGATTAAATTAAAGAACCCTAAACAGTCATGAGTGGTTGCCAAAGGCGGGCTGTTACTAGGGTTCGCTTAAGAAAGCCCAGCCATCAGCTCTGAAAGGCAACCAGCAATGGTTCAGCTTTTCCTTTTTTGTTCCTTCAGCTTATCCTAGGTTTGGCTCAGCCCGCAACTTGCTCTGGAAGCCGGGCTTAGGGTTTGGGGTTTAGGGTTTTGGGTTTTGGGTTTCGTGCTTAGGGTTTGGCGGGGGCCTTGGAACAAGTCCCGGGTCAAGTCCAGCATCAGCTCGCGTGGAAGCGTGTCGGAGGCGAAGAAGGACTTCCTTTCCAGCTCGGGATCTTAGGCCTTAAACTGATTCATGGTTGGGATAGTATGATTTGCTTTACATGTTTATTCCTTATTGGGTTTAAGTACCTTAAAGATGTAAAATGTTACCCAACTATGATAAAGACCCGGGAGTAACCTAGGAATAAACGGGTGAGGGGGGGGGGGGGTTCTTAAGGCCCTGTAGGGCTGAATTCCTCAGGGCTCCCTGTGTTTTGGAAGTCAACCGCACCCCCCCCCCCCCCCCCCCCCCCCCCCAAAAAAAAAAAAGAACCTTACAGAATCTAAGCAGCCCAGCCCGACGCCCAACCCCTCGTACTTCAAAGCACGGCGATGTCTCACCAACACTCGAGCACAGCGCTGCAGGAAGCCTTCATCCAAACTTCTGAAGCCCCCCCCCCCCCCCCCCCCCCCCAAAAAAAACAAAAAAAAAAAACCCTCCGAAACCCTAAACCTTAGGATGTTTCCCCCTTATGCTAACAGTCCTTGATAAGGTTTTCAATAGGGGGTAGTTGCTATGATCCCTATGAAGGACTGTAAGTGTAACGGGGAAACATCCCAACCTGAACCCCTCTGAAACCTGGAGCTCGCCACAAAGACCGCAACTCCAAACAGTGCCCCTAAACCCCAAACCCGAAACCCGAAACCCGAAACCCTAAACCCTAAACCCAAACCCACAGGGCCGGGGGGCATCAGGGAGGGGTCGACGCGCATCTCCCCTGCGTGAGAGGCCCTCTGCACCTGGCGCCGGAAGGGCTTTAATAAGGTGGTGTTGGGTCGTCAAGGGGGATGAGGGTCTAGGGGTTTAGGGTTTGGGTTTGGGGTTTAGGGTTCAGGGTTAAGGGCTTAGGGTTTAGTGCTCAAGGGTTCTACACTTTTTTGCTGTGTCTTGTAGGAACTATGGTACCCAAAAAGTTATGAGAAAAAAAAAACCTTCCCAAGTATCCCAATGAGAAGACTCTGAGAGAACCAAAAGGTTGGCCGAGCTGCTGCTTTCTCGAAAGCGGTGGTGACCTTGCCGCTGAGCCGGGCGTGCTCGCTGAACTCCTGTGGAGCGGTACAAGGGGCTAGGTTATCTCACATCTTTGCGTGTGAAGTGTTAACTCACATCTTTGCGTGTGAAGTCACATCTCCCCAGTGACACGCGGCTGCGAGCGAAGTTACATCACCTCGCGTAAAGTCGCATCACCGAGACATATAATGAAGCCTTTCCCGCAATGTGCACGCGCCGCACGCGCATGTTCTCGACACACATGCAAAATGCGCACTTGAGCACGCCTGGGAGGGGAGCACGTTTTTGTCAGCGTGAATGAGATTTCTGCTTGGGGGTGCAAGTGGGTTCTGACCAATGTTGGAATTCGCGAATCCCCAGTGTGCACGCGCCCGAGATACGACTTCACACAAGAAGATACGACTTAACCTACCCTTTCGGTTCCTAGGGTTTAGGGTTTAGGGTTTAGGGTTTAGGGTTTAGGGTTTAGGGTTTAGGGTTTAGGGTTTAGGGTTTAGGGTTTAGGGTTTAGGGTTTAGGGTCTTGAATGGACAGCGTTGTTTCTTACGCTGACGGCGCCGCTCGAATCTAGCAGCACCTGCCCAAGGACGCCGAGAAACGGACCCCTAACTGACGAACCGGTTCACGAAATCCAATATTCAAGACCCTAAACCCTAAACCCCAAACCCCAAACCCTAGGGGACACATTCTTTCAGTCTTGCCTGTGGCCTGTGGCTCCACATGGCTGTTCCAAGTAATTCGCAGGGTCCCCTGTTAGGTAACGTGTATCACAGGGCTCCTTATACGCTAAACCCTAAACCCATAAACCCCTAAACCCCCAGACACCTAGACCCCCAGACCCCTAAACCCCTAAACCCCTAAACCCTAAACCACTAAACCCCTAAACCCCTAAACCCCTAAACCCCTAAACCCCTAAACCCCTAAACCCCTAAACCCCTCAACCCCTGAACCCCTAAACCCCTAAACCCCTAAACCCCTAAACCCCTAAACCCCTAAACCCCTAAACCCCTAAACCCCTAAACCCCTAAACCCCTAAACCCTACACCCGACACCCTACACCCCAAACCCCTAAACCCTAAACCCTAAACCCCTAAACCCAAACCCTAAACCCCTTTCGGGAATCCTTGATGAGGCCGTAGCGCTTGTTGAGCTCAGCCTGGGCTCGGTCCACACCAGTCAGGGTCGTGATGACCTGCGCAAAGAAGGGGGGGCAGAAGGACAGGGATGAAAGGAGAAGGTTTAGGGTTTAGGGTTTAGGGTTTAGGGTTTAGGGTTTAGGGTTTAGGGTTTAGGGTTTAGGGTTTAGGGTTTAGGGTTTAGGGTTTAGTTTTAGGGCCTAGGGTTTAGGGTTTAAGGTTTAGGGTCCATTGTAGGGTTTGGGGTTTCGCAATATCCCACACGAAAAGCTTCTACCTTTTCGGGCGTCTTCGGATCACCTGGGCTATGCGGGGGAAGTCCGGGCATCATCCACATACCCCCCCCCCCCCCAAGCCCGATAGTCTTGGGGTAGTTGCATGGTCCCTTAGTAGGGGCCCTTACATGGGATCCCTGAAATACCCCTTACACACCGTGTAGAAATTAAGGGCCCACACATCGGAAGCCTTCAAAGGAGGTAAGGGAGCATGTTATAAGGGCCCATGAAACCACTCTCAGACCAAAAACCCCGAACACCCTAGAACACCCCCAAAAGCCTTCAAGGGGATTCCGGGACTCTCTGGCTCTAGGGTTTCGGGTTTTAGGGTTTTGGGGTTTTGGGTTTAGGGTTTAGGGCTCCAGGGGAACTGGGGGGGGGGGGGGGGTCCTCGTACAGATCTGCTGTTCACCACCTGGCCAAGCATAGACCTGTATAAGTCTATTAATATATATATGTGTGTGTGTGTGTGGTGTGGTGTGTGTGTGGTGTGTGTGTGTGTGTGTGTGTGGTGTGTTGTGTGTGTGTTGTGTGTGTGTGTGTGGTGTGTGTGTGTGGGTGTGTGTTGTGGTGGTGGTGTGGTGTGTGGTGTGTGTGTGGTGTGGTGTGTGTGTTTTGTGGTGTGTGTGTGGTGTTGGTTGTGTGTGTGTGTGTGTGGGTGTGTGGTGGTGTGTGTTGGTGTGTGGTGTTGTGGTTTTGGTGTGTGTGGTGTGTGTGGTGTGTGTGGTGTGTGTGGTGTGTGTGGTGAGTGTGGTGTGTGTGGTGGTGTGTGGTGTGTGTGGTGTGTGGTGTGTGTGTGTGTGTGTGGGCGTGTGTGTGTGTGTGTGTGTGTGTGTGTGTGTGTGTGTGTGTGTGTGTGTGTGTGTGTGTGTGTGTGTGTGTGTGTGTGTGTGTGGGTGCGTGCGTGCATGCGTGCGTGCGTGCGGGCGTGCGGGCGTGCGGGCGTGCGGGCGTGCGTGCGT